CCACTTGTTTTCTGCTCCTTGTCCCTTTCCTTTTACTTCCTCTCGTGCTCCATCCTTTTCCCTCCCCCTTGCCGCCCGTCCTCTCTTCTTTTTTTTTAGGGTCTGAAGCTGATTGTTGTTGTTGTTGAGCTCATTTCTACAGCGTCGGTATTGTTGATTCCGTCTCCAGTAACCATCGTATTGTTTTTTATTGAACTGCCCCTCTCGGGATTCGCACCCTTTTTTGTATCAGGGCAAGTCTTGAGGATCAAACTGGGCCCCTGGCCCCCGAGTTACAGCAACGACGGCTCCCGCCTGATACTTCCTCACAATTTATTGAAGAATCGCGGTCTCGCGCGGGACCTCTTCACAATTTATATAGGGATCGCTCTCTCGCTTGGAATTTCGTCGCGATTTGTTCAGACGCCGCGCCCTCGACACTCAGGAATCACGTTCACGCTTTGGCTTATCTCACGATTTACTTGGGAATCGCGCTACCGCTCGAGATTTCCTCGCGATTCATGACGCACGCTTCAGCAACTCGCCTGCTCGACCTGGCCGTCTGGGCCGCAATCCCGAGCCGCCTGGTCTACCCGCCCGATCTGCCCGTCTGGTTTACCTTGTGTTTTCTTGTCCTAGCCCCCCTCCTGCTACTCTCTCTCTCTCTCTCTGGTTCCATCCTCCTCCCTCCCCCTTCCCTTTCTTGCGTCCGTCCTTTCTTCCCTTGCCGTAGAGGCTGCATGAAATACAGGTTGCAGGTCAGAAAGATACACCCCCAAGGCCCAAGGGGGTACGATCGAAGACGAAGAGGGCGAGTGTCGAGAGTTTGGGATACACGTGTTGAAGGGGACGCGAGCAGATAAGAGCGAACAGTCTTAAAATGATTGTTGCTGTTGTGGTGGTTGTTGTTGATGTCTCATGCCTATGGAAAAATTATTGTTGACCCCCCACTCCGGGGCACATGGTGTATTTCAATCCGAGTGCCCTTCCCGGGGCTCGCACCCTGGTCTTTATCAAGGAAAGCTTTTGGTATCAGAATTTTGTTGTTGGCCCCCGGTTTACAACAACAATGGCTCCCGCCTGATATTTCCTCACGATTTATTGAAGAATCGCGTTTTTTCTACAATTTATTCAGGAATCGTGCTCTCGCGTGGGACTTCCTCGCAATTTATTCAGGCGTCGCGCCCTCGACACTCAGGAATCATGCTATCGCCGTGGATTTTCTCACGATCTACTTGGGAATCGCGCTGCTGCTCGAGACTTTTTTCACGATTCATGCAGGACGCACGCTTCAGCAACCCGTCTGCCTCTTGTTCCTTCCTTCCATCCGTCCCCTCTCCCTTGCCTCAGGGGCTGCACTAGATTCACGTTGCAGGTATCAAAGATATACCCCCAATGGGGGTACGATCGAAGGCAACGAGGGCGGGTATCGAGGGTTTGGGATACACACGTGTTGACTTGGCACGCGAGCAGATAATAACGAACATACTTACAATTATTGTTGCTGTTGCTGCTGCTGCTTCTGCTGTTGTTGCTGTTGTTGGTGTTGTTGTGGTTGTTGTGGTTTTGGTTGTGGTTATGGTAGTGGTTGTTGTTGAGTTCTCAGTTCTGAAGAATACTCATTGTGGATCCCCCCTGCGCGGTAACCATTGCATTTTTCAATTAAAGTGCTCTTCCCAGGGCTCGTACCTGGCACCCGATTTACAACAACAGCGGATCCGCTGGTTATTTTCTCACAATTCGTTCGAACATCGCGCTCTCGTGACGATTTATTTGGGAATTGCGCTGCCGCTCGAGACTTCCTCGCGATCTATGCAGGACCTGGCAACCTGCCTGTTCGACCTGGCCGCGTTGGCCCGCCTTCCCGACCCACTCATTAGGGCCTACCCGCCCGATCTGCTCATCTGGTTCCGTTACTTGTTTTCTGCTCCTAGCCCCCCTCCTGCTACTCTCTCTCGTGCTCCATCCTCCTCCCTCACCCTTGTCCCTTCCTTCCATCCGTCCTCTCTACCCCTGCCTTAGGGGCTGCACGAAATACACGTTGCAGGTAAGAAAGACATACCTCCAAGTGGGGTACGATAGAAGTCGAAGAGGGCGGGTATCGACTGTTTGGGGTACACGTCCTGAATGGCACACGAGCAGAAAAGAGCGAACCGTCTTACCAATGGTTGTTGTTGCTGCTGTTGCTGCTGCTGCTGCTGCTGCTGTTGCTTCTGCTGCTGCTTGCTTACTTGCTATGTGCTTTTGCTTTCTCCCCTGCGCGGCGAAGGCCAGATGCCCGCAGCGGCTGTAGGGATGTCAGCCACGCGCGAAAGGGGGGTGGGGGGAGGGGGAGGGCTTCTTGGAAGTGCCCGTGCTTCGTCCGAGGGAGCGCGAACACGGAACAAGGCGCGTGGATTAGCGAAGGGTCCCGCTTCCATGCAGCATCGGCGCGCGGTGTCGGCGCACGAGGCGGCATTGGAGCACGTCCTCATTCTTTTACCAGCTTGAAACATAGCTCCATGTCGATCTCAATGATTCCCCTGGTTTCTGTGGGGACATTCCCCAACACTGTCATCGCCTTTGCCTTGTCGATCTTAGGGATGGGGATACGTTCGAGGCTGGCTAACCCCTGCTTCTTGGAAATCGTGAGCCTTATCTAACGATGTAAGGCCAGCGTCTTCTAATAAACAGCCTCCTGCTAAGAAGCCCTCCCCCCTCACCCCACCCCCTTGTGCGCGCCGTCAAGGCTCTGCAGAACCACTGCAGGCCTCCCAGCCGAGGTCGGGGATGGATGGAGGCAGATGATGTCGCCGCATCGACGATGCATCGGCGATGCGGCTCGATGGGGAGTCCGATCTTCTCGATGCGGACGTCGCTGCTGCATCGCCGACGTCGCGGATGCGTCGCCGATGCCTCGGCGGCGCGGCGCGATCCTCCGACCCCACCCTGCTCGGACTTCCTCGGAGCGGCCTCCTGGAAGCTCGAGCTGCCCTTGGGCCCTCTCCGAGGCCCCTCGTCGTCGCCCGCTCGTCGTCGCCGCCTGCTCTGTGCCCCCTCTGCCCCCTCTGCCCTCCTTGGGCCCTCTCCGCCCTCCCTGGGCCCTCTCTGCCTCTCGGTCGTCGCCCGCCCTGTGCCCTCGCCGGGCTTCGGGGGCCGCCTCCGCGCCTCGCCCCGGGGCGGCCTGTCCCCGGGCGGCCTCGGCGGGCGGCCGGGGGAGGGCCAAGGGGTATAGGCCGCCCGCGCCTCCCGGGCTCGCCCGGGTGCCGCCGCGCGGGCCTGTGGCCTCGGGAGCTCTTCGGTGCCCTCGGTGTCCAGCTCGGTTGTCGCTGCCGACCCTCCTGCTGCTGCGGACCCTCCACTCTCTGTGATCGTCTCCTTATCCTCCTCCTCCTCCTCCTCCTCCTCCTCCTCCTCCTCCTCCTCCTCCTCCTCCACAATGACTCCATATGAATACTACTCTCCCTCTTCCCCTCATTTTCGAGCCCCGCTCGTTCCGAATCGTTCTCCCGCTGCAGCGCTGGCATCATTTCCGCCGGTGCCCAGGCTGCACGCCCGAGCCGGCGCCCGGGCCAGCGCTCGGGCCGGGTCCGGAGCCAGTTCCGGCCGGCGCCGGAAAATCGAGTGCCGAGGCGGCGCCGAAAAAAGACCATTCTAATACACATTTTTCTTTTGAGAATGCTGAATTTCTGCTTCCGGCGCCCAGGAGGCCTCCCGGGCCGATTCCGACGCCCAGGCCGGCGCCCGAGCCGGCGCCCGGGCCGGACGCCCGAGTGCGGAGCCAGTTCCGGCCGGCGCCAGAAAATCGAGTTCCGAGGCGGCGCCGAAAAAAGGCCATTCCAATACAAATTTTTATTTTGAAAATGATGAATTTCTGCTTCCGGCGCCCGGGAAGCCTTCCCCGGAGTTAGGTTTTCGCGTGCAATTTTTCCCAAAATGCTGCTCTCGCTGAGGCGCCGTCCTCATTTTCGGGCCCCGCTCGTTCCGAATCGTGCTCTCGCTGCAGCGCTGGCCTCATTTCCGTGCTTCCGCTCGTTCCGAATCGTGCTCCCGCTGCAGCGCTGGCCTCACTTCCGCGCTTCCGCTCGTTTCGACTCGTGCTCCCGCTGCAGCGCTGGCGTCATTTCCCGTGCCATGCCACGGCATGCAATGCAATGCTAGGTTGATACTACGCTTCGCGGTGCTCTTCTACGCCATGCCATGCCGTGCTCTACAATGCATCGCGTACCCTTTCGGGATCATCGCCCTGCTTGACATCCGTCTGTTCGAGTAGAGAGGGGATCTGCGCCATGGTAAGGGATGGGAGGGAGGGGTAGGATGTCAGATATGACGCGAGCGCACCTAGCTTGTCCTCCTCCCCCTCCTCCTCCTCCCCCCTTTCCTCCTCCTCCTCCTCTTCCTCCTCCTCCTCCTCTTCCTCCTCCTCCCCCTCCTCCTCATCCTGGCCGTAGCCATTTTGGCTCATCGCCTGGTGCCAGGCCCCATAGCCGTTGGCTCGACGGGCGTGGGGCGCGAGCACGGGATGGCACGGGATGCGGCCCCTCCGCCGGTGGCCGCGCAATTCGGTGGCGATTCGTCTTCCTCTGCTCGTCGGCGGCGGCGGCAAGCTGGCCGTGTGTGGGCTCGCATGTCTGCGGATTGCGCTATCGGGCGCCTCGACTTTGCATTGCACGACGCTCGTGAACGTCATCAGCATCTTCTCGACGCCGTCGGGATGCTACTGGGTGGGGAGGCCGATCTTGCCGACCGCGTTTTGGCTGTCGTTCCGCATCTGCGGGCGCTGGTCTCGTCTTCGCCGAGTTCATGGGAGGATGTGCTGCGTCGGAACGTTGCTCTTCACGCCTCGGCCGACGGGATCAACGTCTCTACGGCTTCCACCCGCGAGCTCAGGGCAGCGCAGCGTGGGCCCAGGCTGGTTCGTGTCCGAGATGTTCCTGGAGGTGGTGTTTGCTCCAAGAACACCGAGCAGGAGACTGCTGGCGCCGCGGCGGCTGCTGATGGGATGACGGCGTCAGGGCGGTGCTCCGAGGTCGGGGCATGCAATGAGGACGGTGTCTTTCGCTTTCGGCTCGCTGATCTTCTTCCGCGTCTTGGGGAGGACGATTCGTGCAGCACGGCGTCGGGATCTTCCTCTACTGCCTCGGCGCCTTCTCTGGGTATCATGCCCGAGGGATGGCTTCCTCGTGGAGGCGCGCCGCCGTCGCGGGTTTGCCTTCGCGAGCCGCTCCGCGCAGATCGGCTTCCTGTACCTCCGGTCTTCCGTCCTTTCCGTGGTGAAGGCGGTGGCGATGTTGCTGGTCGTCTTCCCGCCGCCATGGAGGCGGACAGCAGCGCTGGAGATGCTGCAGGCGGAGCTATTTTTCTCGCTGGAATTGATCCTCTTGTGCGTCGTGGCCTCCCTGCGGAAGCGGGCCAGCCTCTTCGGCATGGGCTCGCTGGTGCTCCCGCTGGTGGCGGTCCCCTCCGAGGCGGCTCCTTGGTGCGTTTTCATAGTGACCCACGGCTGGTACCTCAAGAGGAATATTGGGAGTGCGTGTTGATGCCTGCCACGGACACGGTTGGCCTCCCATGGTCGTGCCCAGGTGTCCACGCCCTCGAGTGCGTGAAGCTCATCGGCGACCAGCGGCTCACTTGCCTTTCCTGCGACCTGCTCATGGATGGCATGGACGAAGACCCAGAGTCGCTCTTCGCGTGCTCGGAGTGCGGCTTGGTGTTCTGCGACACGTGCGCGCCTGAGGGCTGGCGAAGTTGGGCATGTGCCACATGACGCTCGATTTCACGGGCCCGTCTGTGCTCCTGTTCGTTGTGGTCTTCTTCGGTTTCGTGCTTGTGGAGGTTTTCACGGCAGGTGCACTCACGCTACGGGTGGCCTCACCCCACCACCCGTGAGTATGCTGGGGTAGCATTGCGTTGATGTTAAAAAATCATCCTCCTCCTCCTCCTCCTCCTCTTCCGATGCGGCAGAGAGGCAGAGAAAGAGAGAGAGAGGGAGAGGGAGAGAGAGAGAGAGAGAGAGAGAGAGAGAGAGAGAGAGAGAGAGAGAGAGAGAGAGAGAGAGAGAGAGAGAGAGAAACAGAGAGAGAGAGAGAGAGAGAGAGAGAGACTAGAGGGAGCAGCGATCCATGTGGAATCACATGGTTTGCGAAGTAAGGGGGGCGCGAAAACCTTACGATTCCATTTGGGTTTTCGGGATGTCTGGTATGAGAGTCCCAGAAACCATGTGCCTTCATTTTGATTTTAGATGTTTTTGGATTTTACATCTTCCGACGAACATCCACGTTCCAGCCCTCCAAAGCCCTGGATCCCATACATCCCGCACACATCCACGCAATCCACACTACATCGCAGTATTTCTAGGATCCTTATGCCAGAATTCCCAAGCATCCCCATGACATCTCAGGGTTTGGTGCCCCTCTTCTTTCGCAAGCCATGCGATTTCACTGGGATCGCTGCTCCCTCGAGTGTCTGTCTCTCTCTGTGCTTCTCTGCCTCATCGGAAGAGGAGGTCCTCCTCCTCCTTCTCCCCCTACTCTCTCCTCCTCCGCTTCTCCTCCTCCTCCTCCTCATCCTCCCCCTCCTCTTCCTCCTCCTCTTCATCTGGTGAGTCAGGGGAGCAGGGCGAGAACGAGAGAGAGCGACAGAGCAAGAGAGAGAGAGAGAGAGAGAGTGAGATAGAGAGAGAAAGAGAGAGAGAAAGAGAGATAGAGGGAGGGAGAGAAAGAGAGAGAGAGAGAGACTAGAGGGAGCGCGAGCGAGCAGCGGTCTCTGTGAAATCACACGGTTTGCGAAGGAAGGGGGCGCCACACCCGGAGCTTTCATTGGGTTGCTTGGGGCTTCTGGCCAGAGAGTCCAAGAAACCATGTGGTTACCTTTTTTCGGGGGGGGGGGGGGGGGGTTGGGATCCTACATCCTCGGACGAACATCCACATTTCAGCCCTCCAGAGCTGTGAGACTCGTAGATCCCAATCTGAATTGAATCTCAGGGTTTAGGGGTTTGGTGCCTCTCCCCTACTTCGCAAACCATGCGGTTTCGCAGGGATCGTCTCCCTCCAGTCTCTCCATCTCTCTCTCTCTGCCTCCCTGCCTCTCTGCCTCATCGGCAGGGGGGCAGATCGAGACAGAGAGATAGAGAGAGAGAGAGAGAGAGAGAGAGATAGAGAGGCAGAGCGAGTGATAGAGAGAGCGGGAGAGAGAGAGAGAGAGAGAGCGAGAGAGACTAGAGGGAGCAGTGATCCCTGTGAAACTGCCAGGTTTGCAAAGTAAGCGGACGCTGAACCCCGTGATGCCATGTTTTATGCAAGTATGGGAATCCCAGAAACAATATGTTTTTGTTTGATTGCCTTTTGATGTTGCACCCTCCGAACTCCTCAATGCAGCCCTTCAGAGCTCCGAGCCACAGAAAGCACAAACATCCGAACCATCCAAATGACACCACGGGGCTTCTTGGATTCTCAGCGCAGAACGTTCGCGCAGCCCAGTGAAAGCACAGGGCTTGGCGCCTCCCCCTACTTCGCAACCCATGCGATTCCATTTGGATCGCTGCTCCCTCGAGACCCCCACCCCCTCGCAACCCATGCGATTCCATTTGGATCGCTGCTCCCTCGAGGCCGTCGCTCTCCCTCTCTCTCTCTGTCGCTCTCTCTTTCTTTTCTCTTTGCAGATTATTTGCCTTGCCTCTCTGCCTCATCGGAAGAGGAATAGGAGAGATGAACCCAGTCACAAGAACATGCGATCAGTGGATGCTTGGGGCGGGGGTGAGCTGTGCACCTATATACATGCATGCATGCATGCATGCATGCATGTCTGTATGTATAAATGTTTGTGTATATATATGTATGTATGTATGTACGTCTGTCTGTCTGTCTGTCTATCTATATGTCTGTTTGCCTGTCTGTCTGTCTCTCTGTGTGTCTGCCTGTCTGGCTGTATGTATGTATGTATGTATGTATGTATGTATGTATGTCTGTGTATGTATGTATGTATGCATGCATGCATGCATGTATGTATGTATGTGTGTATGTATGTAAAACTGTATGCATGTATGTGAAACTGCACGTGTGCATGCATGCATACGTGTGCATGCATGTACGTACGTACGTACGTATGTATGTATGCATGTACGTATGTATGACTGTATGCATGTATGCATGCCTGCCTGCATGCATGTATGTATGCATGCGAGGATGCTACAACTTATGATGGCGATGATAACGATGCTGCTGACGATGGTGACGATGATGATGACGATGATGACGATGATGACGATGATGACGATGATGACGATGATGACGATGACGATGCCGATGACGTTGACGACGATGACGCTGATGATGCTGCTGATGATGATGGTGCTGCTGATGATTCTGCTGCTGTTGATGGTGATTATGATGACGATACTGATGCGGATGATGAGGATGATGATTCTGATGATGCTGATGATGATGGTGATGCTGATGCTGATGATGATGATGGTGGTGGTGGTACTGACAATGATACTGACGATGATGATGACGATTACGATGATGCTGATGAGGATGAGTATGATGATGGTGGTGGTGATGATAATGCTGATGTTGACGATGATGATGCTGCTGCTGCTCTGATGATGTTGCTGATGATGGTGATTCTGCTGATGGTTGTGGTGGTGGTCATGCTGCTGCTGCTGATGATGATGATGCTGTTGATGATAATGATGATGATGATGATGATGATGATGATGCTGATGCTGATGCTGATGCTGATGCTGATGCTGATGATGCTGCTGATGATGATGATGCTGGCGTTGGCGAGAACGGCGACGACGACTAGTAGGAAGAGCGGGGCAGAGCGGGGAGGGGGTTGGAGTCGGAACACGACGCAGGTGCGACAGCAAGAGTACCATCAATAGCAAGTTCAGCACTATTGCGAACCACCTACCTGGTGTCTTCGAGAAGGCCACGCCCGTGCTTGGTGCTTGAATTCCAGAGAGCATATGAAGTTTCATCTCCCAGACCACTAATCCGAGGTCAAGGGATAGCCCAGGCGAGTCAGCGGCCAAAGGTAGCCCCCCCCCCCGGGGAGATGACCAGGAGGACGTGAAGAAATAAGGAGTGAATGTTGAGGAAGAGAAGGAGTAGGGGAAGCAGGAGGAGGAGGACCAGTGTAATCCCAGGACGCGTCAACGATGTTCTAATCAATATTCTTCAGTTCGGGAAGCGCCCCATTGGAAGACAACCGATTGAGAGTCGCCAGTCGTTCCAACCATTCCCGGGGCTTCGACGCCGCGAATCAACGTGATCGTTGTGTCCTTGCAACCCAACGTCGTGCCAAAACACCTTTTCCAAGACTTCCGCACTGCGAGTCAGCGCGACTGCTCCGTCCTGACAGGCCCAGACCGTTCCAGAACACCACTCCTGTGACTCCAGCCATGCGAGCCATGGAAACTTCCTTTGTGAGCCTGAAGCACGTGTGCGCGGCGCCGAGGCGAGAGCCACACTCTGCAAGAGGAAAACCGCACTCCATCCTCGCGGTCCTTGCAGACCCTGACGACGAATCGGGCGCGGCGCCAGGGCGAGGGCGACGTTCGGAAAACCACCCGGCCTCCATCCGCGCTGCACGGGGTGCACCAGGCCTCTGGTGGTCGCCGCGCTCCCGAGGCCGGCCAGCGAGGCCGGCGGGCGCGAGCGATGTCGTATTCACAACATTGAGCCACGTCGTCATTGATCAGGAGAGGAAAAAACACACAGACACAATTAATCGTCGACTCCCAGGAAAATATGCAAAAATATGGGAAGTGGGGGGGAAGACAAAAAACCTAAAAATATGAGAAAATATGGGGAATCTTTTTATTTGCGTGTATTTATTTGTGTGTCCTGGGGCCCCTTCAATTGAGTCGAAAGGAAACCCCGTCCATTTCATGCCTTCCCCGCCCGGGGCGGGGGGGGTCCCGGGGCGGCGCGAGGGGGGCGGCCTTCCCGAGCAGGGCGGGCTTCCCGGGAGGCGGGGCCCGCGCAGGAGGGCCCGGGCGATCCTCGGAGGGCCGCGAGGAGTGCCGAGGGGGGCGGCCCGACGGAGCCCTCTGCTCTCCTAGGGGCCCTGCCAGGCTTCTCGGGATCAGAAGTGGGCAGGAGGTCTCGGGCGAGACGGCCGGCCCGCCCCGCCGACACGTCTGGGGGTGCGGCGGGGAGGATTGTCTTAGTTGGAGATGTCTCGGGGTTCGGCGCGGAGGAGTTTTTCTAGGAGGAAACGGATTGGAGGAGGAGGAGAAAGAGGCGAAGGACGAGGGATGAGGAGGAGTGGAAGGGATAATGGAGGCATGACGGGGATAAGGACGACGAGAAGGAGCATATTGAAGGAGTTGCAGGGGGAGGAGGAGGAGGAGGAGGAGAAGGAGGAGGAGGATGGTGGGCGGAGACAGTTGAGAAGTGAGGATGAGGAGGAGTAGGAGGAGGAGGAGGAGGAGGCGGAAGGAAGAGGGATGAGGGGGGATAGATAATGATGATGATGATGATGATGATGATGATGATGATGATGATGATGATGATGATGATGATGATGATGA